CAGCAGTAGAAAGCAAGCAGTGACGGCAGCAGCAGTAGAAAGCAAGCAGTGACGGCAGCAGCAGTAGCAAGCAAGCAGTGATGGCAGCAGCAGTAGAAAGCAAGCAGTGACGGCAGCAGCAGTAGCAAACGAGCAGTGATGGCAGCAGCAGTAGCAAGCAAGCAGTGATGGCAGCAGCAGTAGCAAGCAAGCAGTGATGGCAGCAGCAGTAGCAAGCAAGCAGTGATGGCAGCAGCAGTAGCAAGCAAGCAGTGATGGCAGCAGCAGTAGCAAGCAAGCAGTGATGGCAGCAGCAGTAGCAAGCAAGCAGTGATGGCAGCAGCAGTAGCAAGCAAGCAGTGATGGCAGCAGCAGTAGCAAGCAAGCAGTGATGGCAGCAGCAGTAGCAAGCAAGCAGTGATGGCAGCAGCAGTAGCAAGCAAGCAGTGATGGCAGCAGCAGTAGCAAGCAAGCAGTGATGGCAGCAGCAGTAGCAAGCAAGCAGTGATGGCAGCAGCAGTAGCAAGCAAGCAGTGATGGCAGCAGCAGTAGCAAGCAAGCAGTGATGGCAGCAGCAGTAGCAAGCAAGCAGTGATGGCAGCAGCAGTAGCAAGCAAGCAGTGATGGCAGCAGCAGTAGCAAGCAAGCAGTGATGGCAGCAGCAGTAGCAAGCAAGCAGTGATGGCAGCAGCAGTAGCAAGCAAGCAGTGATGGCAGCAGCAGTAGCAAGCAAGCAGTGATGGCAGCAGCAGTAGCAAGCAAGCAGTGATGGCAGCAGCAGTAGCAAGCAAGCAGTGATGGCAGCAGCAGTAGCAAGCAAGCAGTGAAGGCAGCAGCAGTAGCAAGCAAGCAGTGACGGCAGCAGCAGTAGCAAACAAGCAGTGAAGGCAGCAGCAGTAGCAAGCAAGCAGTGACGGCAGCAGCAGTAGAAAGCAAGCAGTGATGGCAGCAGCAGTAGAAAGCAAGCAGTGATGGCAGCAGCAGTAGAAAGCAAGCAGTGATGGCAGCAGCAGTAGCAAACAAGCAGTGATGGCAGCAGCAGTAGCAAGCAAGCAGTGATGGCAGCAGCAGTAGCAAGCAAGCAGTGATGGCAGCAGCAGTAGCAAACAAGCAGTGATGGCAGCAGCAGTAGAAAGCAAGCAGTGACGGCAGCAGCAGTAGCAAGCAAGCAGTGATGGCAGCAGCAGTAGCAAGCAAGCAGTGATGGCAGCAGCAGTAGCAAGCAAGCAGTGATGGCAGCAGCAGTAGAAAGCAAGCAGTGATGGCAGCAGCAGTAGAAAGCAAGCAGTGATGGCAGCAGCAGTAGCAAGCAAGCAGTGATGGCAGCAGCAGTAGCAAGCAAGCAGTGATGGCAGCACAGTAGAAAGCAAGCAGTGATGGCAGCAGTAGTAGCAAGCAAGCAGTGATGGCAGCACAGTAGAAAGCAAGCAGTGATGGCAGCAGCAATAGAAAGCAAGCAGTGATGGCAGCAGTAGTAGCAAGCAAGCAGTGACGGCAGCAGTAGTAGCAAGCAAGCAGTGACGGACCGACCAGAAGCAACAGCAGCAAACAGCCCCAACAGAAGCAACAGCAGCAGAAGGGTGTGTTTTAACATGACCAAACTGCATAGGGAAGGGAGAGAGGGGAAAGGTTTGGATAGCGAGGGGTGAGTGGACCCCGTGACGGGAGGGAGCAAGGGAAGTGAGGAGTGGGCAGCGGTTGCGAGCCCAGGAGCAAGGGAAGGTAAAGGCCGAAACACATTGGGTGGTGCTTTTCAGTCTTAGTTGACGCTGCATCCACACAGATACCCATAGCCTGGTGCTTTGCTGCCATGCCATCATGATGGCCACCAGCCAGTCCAGCACTCGCATGATGAAGCATGAGAAGCTGGTGATTTCTGCCATGCTCTCCAATCCTAAGTCGTTTTGAACAAGCAGCGGCAGTAGCAACGTAGCAACGCGAGAGGACGGGCCGCGGTGACGAACGAGAGGCGTGATTTTCTCAGCGCGCGCGCTTCTTGGCAGCCTCGCTTGCCGCCTGCTCCGCTGAGCCCGACAAGAACGGCACGCATGACATTTCACCTAGTTTGAAACTAATGGCGGTAATTTAAACGACCGCGAAAGGCTCCCGTCGAACGAGGATTTAAACCACGCCGCTAAGCCCAGGCCGTCGTCTGGCGGTGGCTGTCGTAACCATTTCGCATGCATAGGATCACGTTCATTATTAACGCAAGATTTGTACGACTACTACTTACTAATACTGGTGCTACTACCGCTGTCGACGGTGTGTGATGAGTGTGATTAGCGGAAGTCGGTGCCTTTTCAGAGAACGAGAAAGCGGGCTTTGAATGATACTATTATCTACTACTAGCTAATACGACGAAGTGCTACTGCTACTAGCGACGGTGGTGCGATAAAGCTGATGTGGGGGAGGGGGTCGGCTCCTCAGCGGAAAGGATAAGTGTGGATGGATCTGAGGCAGCGTTTGCTCCCTCTTTTGTTTCTGAAACCCTGACTCGGTGCACACGGTTCAGAACGGTAAAACATTTTTCCAAGTGTTTTAGGCGCGCGCACTGTGTTAATCGTGAAATTTTCTGTAGACAGACACATGTACCGCGCCCTGAATCTCGTAATCCCTTCTGAAGCTCGCGAATCGTGAACCGTCAGATTGCAGCAGACGACCACCCGTGCTCGCAAATCAGCAGGGGTGCGAGTGGTGGGAGGGATACAGTTCACTCTGTACACTTGGGAAGGTGAGGGTGTGTGAAAATGATGTGGCACGATCCAGGCCGTTGAAAATTTTGGTCTGTATTCAGCAGTGAAATCCGCATTGGCCTGCTGAAGTCTTGCTCCAGCATTCCACGAATGGGGGAGTGTGGTGGGGACCTTTGGATACCATTCTTTTTGCTCAAACATTTTCCCTAAACCGCTGTGTAACGTACCGAAACCCCTGAATATCGATTTTCGTGTCGGTGCGTTGCCATGCCAGCAAATAGTGACGTTTGATCAACCCACCTGGTGCTCGCCCAGCCTTTGGTTTCTGGGCGGAACCAGCCTTTGGTTTGTACTGTAGACGGCTTGGATGTAAATATATGCCGTCACAGCACCGTCTGGTGTTTTGCATCCCAGGGTTTTTTTTCGCCACTCCTTGCATTTTTAAGCACGAGATTTGGCCCCTTCCCAACTCCACCCTCAAGCCTTTTCGTTCTCTGGGCGGAAGGCGAGCCTCAAGCTCAGCAGCAGGTTCAAAAACAAAACGAATGGGCATGGGTTTTTGCGCTTGGGGTGGGTTGCCAGCGTAGGCGCTTACGACTGCTGGGCAATGCAGGTGTGCCCGAACTGTAGCGAGTGTCCGCCACCCAGCCCAACCCCTCCTACCCTGCTTGTTTCTTCACTGTACATGACGGCTAGGAACTGTTTGAGCTTGAAGCTCGACTCTGCACAAACAGGTGAACACTCCGTAGGGCGCGGTACATTCTCCCGCTTGAAGCATTTGTCGCGTATCGATTCACTCCGCTAGGCTAAACATTTTTGAAACAGTTTGACCGTTCTCAACTGAGAGATAAGAACTCGGGTTTCACAAACCACGTCTGCAATGAAACACTCCCCGAACTTGACCCCAGATTCACCACAACACTTCCACCAAAGCACCCGCTCACATCACCTTCATTGCGCCACCTAGCACCACCCCTCGCCAGCTCGTCGTAGTAGCACTAGTAGCACCAGTAAACTCGTAATGTAGGGTGTATGTATTTCGCACCAGTCCCTTGGCCACTCTGCAAAGCACGATCGGTGTTTTGCTAAAACAAATTTTGTTTCGCCACTCTGCTTGCCTTTTGACTGAGATGACGCCCGAAAACTGAAGCTATTTGTTTAACCCGGTAGTGATTTCCACCCGGTAGGTCGACAAAGCAGATTCGCAAATCGTGAGTGTATTATTTCTCGCCTCATTTGTGACCTCACCCACCCAGCCGTACTCGCACTGTACTGCCGCAGTGCTCGTCGACGAGAAACGCCAAAACCTGATCGAGCCCGTCCTGTCTGTTCTGCGCAGACTGGATGGTTCGTGCGAGCTTCACAGAGGGCTGTGCTTGGTACAGTTGGGCAATGGGCAGTTCAACCCCAGGCGCAGTCCACGTGTCCCGTCGGCTGAGCCATTCCATTCAGCGCGCTTGGCTGAAACGGTCGAAAACGGTTACACAGTTTTCAACCGTGTGGAAAATATCGGTTCACAGAACAAAGGGAGCAAGCCAACGCTGCCTGCCAAGATCCGATTCCTTCGTTCACTACAGTGATCCACCCTCTCACTTCAGCCTTATACCACCACCCACCCACCCTCCATAGCCCATCATTGTTAGTACGGTAGCAGTAGTATAATTGCACTAGTCGCTAGCAGAATTAGTAGTAGTATAGCAGGTACTAGTAGTACTTGTGGCACTTCGCGTCGACTCAGTCGCTACTATTATTGGTTCATTCGCGTAACTTAAACGCCAGCGTTTCCTATCGAGTATTTTGTGTCGCGCTGTTAGGTTTGTTTCCATGAGTTGGAAATTTAGGTTTCCGAAAACAAGGCGCCCTAGTACTAGCAGTAGCAGCGAGCAGTAGTAGTCGCAGCCCTTATTTGCCCGTTTGGACTGATATACGCGCTCATGTGGCGTTTCCTCGCTGTCGCTGATCTAATATACCTAAAGTGTCGCTCGTTAGCTCGCTGTCGCTGATCTAATATATCTAAATAGCGGCGACGGCGGAGAGAGCGGGCGGGGATGGGGGGGAGGGCGGGGCTGGTGTGCGGGGAGGCGGAAGCGACGGTGTGGTTGCCGGGGGTGGCGGAGCGGCGGGAGCGGGTGACGGAGGCGGAGGGGGGAGCGGGCGCGGGGACGAGGAGCTGCTGTGCCCCAACTGCCGCGCGCCCCTCTCGCTCCTCTCTTTCCCCGCGCTTGCCTTCCCCCATTCCCCCTCCTCCCCGTCCGCGTCCGCGCTATCTCCGCCCATGTCCGCGGCGGAGGCGCGCACGAGCGGGCGCGCGGTGCTGTTCTGCCGCCAATGCCAGCGATTCACCGACAGGCCGGTGGCGAGAGGGACAGGGGAGGCGGAGAATGGGCGGAAGGGGAAAGAAGAGGGGCAGCCGCAGGTGACGGCGGAAGGGCAGTGCGCAAGCGGGGGGAAGGGGGAAGGATTGGGGAAGGGCAAGGCCGGGGGGGGGGCGCGAGAGTGGGGGAGTTTGTGGAGGCGGACTGGTATGAAGCGGACTGGAAACATGTCTCCCCCCTTTCCGCCGTCACTCCCCCCGAGCCCCCCGCCTCTGACGCGTGGCAGTGGTCCCGCTTTGGGCGGCAACTTAGCCGCCAAGACGGCCGCCCGGGCGGCAGGTCTGCGCGCAGCGAGCTGGACGGGATGATGGGCGGGGCGAGCGGGGGGGAAGGGGGGAGCGCGCGGAGGGATGCGCGGGAGGAGTATGTGAATCGGTTCAAGGCGAGTTTGCAGGGGTGGGGGGGGCACCCGTGGGCGCAGGGACAGGGGCAGCAGGGGCAGGGACAGGCAGGCGCGGGGGGAGAAAAGAAAGCGCAAAGGCAGGGGCAGGGGCGGAGTGAGGGGCAGCAGGTGGGCAGCAGCGGAAGGAATAGAAGCCCTGGCGGTGGCGGAAGCAGCGCCAGCGCGTATCCCCCTAGCTTCTCCTCCCCCCTCCTGCACGCCCCCAGAGGCCCCCCCGCCCCGCCTCCGCCCCCGTCCCCCCTGGCCGCGCCCACGCAGATCCCCCCCGCGCCTGGCGCGGGTGCGGGGGAGAAGCGGGGGAGGGGGCAGCAGAGCGGGGGAGGGGAGGGGAGGGAGGGGCGGGAAGGGCGGGAAGGGCGAGAGGGGAGGGAGGGGCATGTGCCGTGTTTTGGGGCGGCAGGGGGAGGGGAGGACGGGACAGAGCACAACTGGGGAGGGGCGAATCTGGGGAGAATCTGCCCACGCCCAAGCAGATCCGGGCAGCTCTGGATGAATTTGTGATCGGGCAGGATAATGCGAAAAAGGTGAGCGGGTGCTGGTGACGTGGCAGTTACTGTTAGGCTGGTGGTGTAACAGGTTTACAGTCACAGACTCGCTAAGAGCAGTATTTTTTCTTCTTCTTTTGATTTTATTTGTAACCGAATGTTTGCAGTGGCGGTGGTGTACCCACTACGAGCGCATCTTCTCTATAAGCTCATTTCGTTACGAGCCCTTTCCGATCCCCGTATGCTACCCTTTGCTGCAGGTTTTGGCAGTGGCAGTTTACAATCACTACAAGCGCATCTTTCTTGAAAACCAGAAGCGGGAAAGACTTGCCAACCTGCCAGAGGGGTGAGAAGGGGTAAAAAAAAGGCGAGAGGAGGTTCAGAGGGGTGAGAGGGGGAGGAGAGGAAGTGGGAGAGGGGCTGTGTGCTGTGTGTGGTGAGGGATGGAGAGGGAGAGGAAATGTTCTTTAAAGTGATTCAAGCAAGGATTAAGAGGGAGAGGGAGAGGGAGTGACCGGTCATCTACCTGAACGATCCCCTTTTCTACACCTCACATGGGGGAAAGAGATTAGGCTTGCTCCACATTTTGCCCACTGTCCGCCCTCCCTCACTCACTCACTTCTGTTCTTGCTCACCCCCATGGTGGATAAGAGCAACGTGCCCCTCACTCCCTACCCTCTCCCTATGCCCCCCGTCGCCCTCTCTTCCACCTCTCTTCCCCCCTGCAGGGCGTGCGAGAACCTGGTGGGGGGCGGTGAGGAGGACGAGGTGGAGGTGGAGAAGAGCAACGTGCTGCTGATGGGTCCCACGGGTTCAGGTGGGTGCAAGAATCACCACTGCAGCATACGGGGGGCAGGGCCGCATGGGAGCAGCGGAATAGCATAGGGTAGGGCAAGCATGGGACGAGGTGCAGGTGGGGAAGAGCAACGTGGTGCTCATGGGAGGGACCCACAGGCTCTGGTGGGTGGGTGGTTGGATGCAGCCCATCGGAAGCAGTAGGTGTTTGGACGGGTTCAGGCGTCGTGTCGTCTCAAAACTCGATGGGCCCGACTGACTGACACATGGGTCCCTCGCACGGGCCCCGATCATGTCGCTCGCATACAGCTGTTCAGGTACTATCGCCTGTCAAGCAAGGGCTGCCCAGAGGGTTTATTGGAGGGAAGATTTTAACAGGCTCATGAATGCGTGTATGCGTTCTTGCCTTCCTGTCGCCCAGCGGTCTCATGAGCAACGTGCTTCTCATCTCGCTCACGCGTGTGTCTCTCTCCACTCAACTTATCCCACTCCCCACCTGTCAACTCACCTTATCGGCTCCACTCCATCCGCCCACTCCCTACCCGCTCCGCGCCTGTCCGGCCTGTGATGGCAATGTGGTCAACATCCCAGGCCACTCCCTACCTTATTCTTTGCGGGCGGTATTTCAACCGCTGCTGTCCCTTGGGTGCAGTGCATGCAGGCAAGACCCTACTGGCCAAGACTCTGGCGCGGTTTGTCAACGTGCCATTCGCCATTGCTGATTTTTGAGTCGACTCAAAAAAGTCCCCTCCCCCCACACACTGGTGGGTGACTATCCCCTCCCCCCCCCCAACGCGTGCAGGCAAGACCCTACTGGCCAAGACTCTGGCTCGGTTTGTCAACGTGCCATTCGCCATTGCTGATTTTTGAGTCGACTCAAAAAAGTCCCCTCCCCCCACACACTGGTGGGTGACTATCCCCTCCCCCCCCCCAACGCGTGCAGGCAAGACCCTACTGGCCAAGACTCTGGCTCGGTTTGTCAACGTGCCATTCGCCATTGCTGATGCCACCACTCTCACTCAGGTGCGCCTTTAACGAGGTGACTCTTAATTGACTCAAAGGCCACTCTCACCCAGCTGCGTCTCATACCGCCACTCTCATCAACTTCCACACCCAGCTGCGTCTCATACCGCCACTCTCATCAACTTCCACACCCAGCTGCGTCTCATACCGCCACTCTCATCAACTTCCACACCCAGCTGCGTCTCATACCGCCACTCTCATCAACTTCCACACCCAGCTGCGTCTCATACCGCCACTCTCATCAACTTCCACACCCAGCTGCGTCTCATACCGCCACTCTCATCAACTTCCACACCCAGCTGCGTCTCATACCGCCACTCTCATCAACTTCCACACCCAGCTGCGTCTCATACCGCCACTCTCATCAACTTCCACACCCAGCTGCGTCTCATACCGCCACTCTCATCAACTTCCACACCCAGCTGCGTCTCATACCGCCACTCTCATCAACTTCCACACCCAGCTGCGTCTCATACCGCCACTCTCATCAACTTCCACACCCAGCTGCGTCTCATACCGCCACTCTCATCAACTTCCACACTCAGCTGCGTCTCTCTGATTCTCAGGTTGGATACAGCCTGGTTTCCACACTCTTTCACACGGGAGAGTTCACCAGTATGGTTAACCAGTAGGGTTAACTCTCCCGTGTCATGGTATGCCACTTAGGGAGTGCGTGACAAGGGGCATATTATTACTATCACCGTTGCTCTTGAGCCAATTCCCACACGATGACTCGTGATTCGCCTCAAAGGTCACTTCGTTACAGTGGCATGCAGGACAACGGGCTTTCTACTAGAACTGTGTTTCCTGAGCCAACGCTCACCTATTTCTCATTCTCTGGTGCTGTTTGTCGTGCAGGCTGGTTATGTGGGAGAGGACGTGGAGATGATTCTCTATAAGCTGCTGCAGGTGAGGGACAGAAGGGGTTGTTGGGGTTGGGACAGGGAGTGGGGGGTGGGGGGGTTATGTTATGTTAGTGTTTCTGCTCCTCGTGCAGGCGGGGTATGTGGGAGAGGACGTGGAGATGATTCTCTATAAGCTGCTGCAGGTGAGGGGGTTTGGAAGAGGTGAGACGGGTCAGTAGAGGTGTTAGCTTGTCGTGCAGAGGACGCGGAGATGATATTTTACAAGTTGCTGCACCTACAAGTGGAGGTGAGGGTAGGGGTTGCTGCACCCGGGTCCCAACCCCGGGTGGCTTCACGTAGCTCAACTGCTCCTTACAAGTTACATTCATTTTGCTCCTGATGTGCATGCTTGCATGTTCATGACTATCTGTTCTGTGTGTGATTCCCATGGTGGTGTGTGTGTGTGCGTGACTGTCCATTTGTCTTACGCAGAGCGCCAATTTCAGTGTGTCAGCAGCGCAGCAGGGCATCGTGTATATCGACGAGATCGACAAGCTTACCAAGAAGGTGGGCTCGCTAGCAGCACTAGCGGCACTAGCTGCACGGGCACTAGGAGATGCAACCCCCCCCCACTAAAGCAGCAGCGCAGCAGGGATCGTGTATATCGACGAGATCGACAAGCTTACCAAGAAGGTAGGCTTGCTAGCAGCACTAGGGGCACTAGCGGCACTGGCGCTAAGTAGGTGCTCCCCACCCCACCAGAGCAGCAGCGCAGAAGGGCATTGTAAACATAGATGAGATTGACACGCGCACTAAAAACATGAGCTTAATCTGGACAGCCCCCGCTCTCCCCTCTGTGCGTGCCTGGACAGGCAGAGGGCATCACGAGCACACGGGACGTGTCAGGGAAAGGCGTGTTGGAGTGTCTTATCCAATAAGTGTCTTACTGATTCCTCTCTCCCCCCTCTCTCATCTCCGCGCCCTGTATGACTGCACAGGCAGAGGGCATCACGAGCACACGGGACGTGTCAGGGGAGGGCGTGCAGCAGGCGCTTTTGAGGATGCTCGAGGGCGCTGTGAGTAAAGAAGGGGGGGGGGGAGGGAGGGTATGGGAGTATGTGAGGAGGTTGGAGGAGGCGGGATGGGAGGGACGTGTCAGGGGAGGGCGTGCAGCAGGCGCTGTTGAGAATGCTCGAGGGCGCTGTGAGTGGGGGGAAGGGGTGGGCTGTAAGGGGATATGATGTGAGCTGGTTTGAAGGACGGTGGGATGAGAGACACAGGTCTATTGGCGTTTGAGATGTGGCAGGGGAGGGCGTGCGGCCGCCGTTGTTGAGGATGCTGAGGGGCGCTGTGAGGGTGGTGTGAGCATCCATGAGCCCGTTTGTCACACGTGTGTGTCCCTCTACCTACTGGTGCGGAGCGGATCTTCTCACTCCCCCTGGGCCCTGGGTGCAGGTGATTGATGTGCCAGAGAAAACAGGGAGGAAGTCCTTCAGAGATTTAGGGCGCCTTGTAAGTCTCATGTGCCGGTCTTCCCCCTGCTCCTCCCCTCTTCTCCCGGGTACAGGTGATCAATGTGCCAGAGAAAACAGGGAGGAAGAATCCAAGAGGCGAGTTCATACAGGTACGGGCTACAGGGGTGCGGGAGTGCGAGGGTTGCAGGGGTGCAGGGGTACGGGGGTAGAACAACGATACCGGGTGTTTCTGTTTTGAGACGTCTCAAAACACTTCTTCAAACACGGAGTGCGAGGGTTGCAGGGGTGCAGGGGTACGGGGGTAGAACAACGATACCGGGTGTTTCTGTGCCGAATGCCTGGAAATCACAACGAATATCACACAGAGCGGAAAGGGTTTCTGCTCAATGGCTAGATACGTTTGAGGCGCATTCCAAGTCGGAGTGTGTTTGTTAGCATGGCTAGCGACCTTCATCCCCTTGGAATTTACCTCAACAGAGGTGAGGGTCGATGAAGAGTATGTCTACCACCTCTTATTCCAACTTTTGAGGCGCGTCAGGAGTTGTCTCCGTTCATGCTTACTGCCTGCCATTCCCCTCTCGCATACCTCCCCTTTCTTTGCCCCACCCATCCCACCAGGTTGACACACAAGACATACTCTTCATCAACCCTCACCTCTGTTGCTTGCCGTGCCAGCCATTCCCAGCCCAATACCCCCTTTCCCATACTTGACTTTGCCTTTCCCCTCCCAACCCACCAGCTGGACACACAGAACATTCTCTTCATCTGCCCTCCACTGCCGCTGCCTGCTATTCCCACCCCCACGCCCCAAGCCACATGCCCGATGCCCCATCCACCCCAATGCTTCCCCTTATCCCACCCCGCCAGCTGGACACACAGAACATTCTCTTCATCTGTGGAGGGGCATTCGTGGATCTGGAAAAGACGATTGCAGAGAGGTGAGGCGGAGGCTGCTTTTGCTGACTCAAAATGCACTCACTGATACGTCTGCTATCGTCAGGTTTTTGAGATTTCTCAAAACATTTGCTGACTCAAAATGCACTCACTGATACGTCTGCTATTGTCAGGTTTTTGAGAATTCCTTCAAAATTTGCTGACTCGAAATGCACTCACTGATACGTCTGCTGTCGTCAGTTATGACCTAAAAAAAAAAAATCGAAGAAAAGACAATCGCACTGAAGGTGCGCAACCATGGTTTTGGGGCAGGGAAAATGAAGCCACCGTTTCTCGCCTTTCAGTGCGATTGTCTTCGCCGCAGCAGTGTGTGCTACAACTGTGTATGCAGGCAATGTCAGGAATGCAGTCCCATCTTAACTACTTTGCCTACTCTGATGACCCACCCACATGTTAGAAACGACTTTCAATAATTGTCTGCAGTTTGACTCTAACATTGACTGCGGTTTGAATCGGTCTGATTGTCTGCAGTCAATGTTAGGAATGTATCTCCTGCCTTTCGTTGGCCGTGCTATGCTAGCCCTCAGAGCTCCTAAGCGCGCAACTCTGCAAGCACTGCAAGAACATACAATGTTGTCTTGACTGCATGTCTTGACTCTCTCTATTACCATTCATTTGTTGCAGGAAGCGCAAGTCATCAATCGGCTTCGGGGCCCCCGTGTGACATTGCTGCAATCATTGCAAGCAGACATGAGACTGACTGCATTCCATGACTCAAATCCCAATATTACCTTGCTGCGTGCAGGAAGCACAAGTCATCCATCGGCTTCGGGGCCCCCGTGCGCGCATCGCTGCGCAACCGATCGGTGCTTGACGCCCGCACTGCCGGCTCGCTGCTGCAATCGGTGAGTGCTAACTCTATACCGTTGGTTTGTTTGTTTGTTTTTTTGGTTGATTTGTTTGTTGGTTTGATTGTTTGGTTGGGTTTTGTTTTGTTTTGTTTTGTTTTGTCATTGTTTTAGCGCGTGTGCCAGCGATCCATGCTTGCAACACTTGCTGTGTGTGCTTGTGGGCGTGCTGCTTTTGAGAGCTGCTTTTCACTGTCCTATAAGCCACCTGCTGCAGTTGATGCGTGCTCTTCCTTCAACCATCCTTTCCCCGCCACCCCGCAAACCCCCTTCCCCCCTTTTTTTGTATCAACGGCTCGCAGAGAGCACTTTTGAGGCGCCTCAAAAGTTGTCTCTCTACCCGCAATTCCCGTATCTCCCCCCCCCCCCCCCCCCCCCCCCGTCTTTTTTTGCTCATCAACTGCACTCAGAGAGCACAGATCGGGTAGCCTACAGGCTCGTCCCCGAGTTTGTGGGGCGATTCCTTGTGTTATTGTTATACCCCTCCAGATCCTCCCTCCCCATCGTTCAACATCCCTCCCCACCCGTCCCCACCCCTCCCTACCCCTCTGGAACGGCAGGCAGAGAGCACGGATCTGATAGCCTATGGGCTCATCCCTGAGTTTGTGGGGCGATTCCCCGTGCTGGTGGGGCTGCATGCGCTCACAGAGGAGCAACTCGTGCAGGTAATGACTGGTGCAGGTAATGACTGGTGCAGGTAATGACTGGTGCAGGTAATGACTGGTGCAGGTAATGACTGATGCAGGTAGTGACTTGTGCAGGTAATGACTGGTGCAGGTAGTGACTGGTGCAGGTAGTGACTGGTGCAGGTAATGACTGGTGCAGGTAATGACTGGTGCAGGTAGTGACTGGTGCAGGTAATGACTGGTGCAGGTAATGACTGGTGCAGGTAATGACTGGTGCAGGTAATGACTGATGCAGGTAGTGACTTGTGCAGGTAATGACTGGTGCAGGTAGTGACTGGTGCAGGTAATGACTGGTGCAGGTAATGACTGGTGCAGGTAATGACTGGTGCAGGTAGTGACTGGTGCAGGTAATGACTGGTGCAGGTAATGACTGGTGCAGGTAATGACTGGTGCAGGTAATGACTGGTGCAGGTAATGACTGGTGCAGGTAATGACTGGTGCAGGTAATGACTGGTGCAGGTAATGACTGGTGCAGGTAATGACTGGTGCAGGTAATGACTGGTGCAGGTAGTGACTGGTGCTGGTAATGACTGGTGCAGGTAGTGACTGGTGCAGGTAATGACTGGTGCAGGTAATGACTGGTGCTGGTAATGACTGGTGCAGGTAATGACTGGTGCGGGTAATGACTGGTGCGGGTAATGACTGGTGCGGGTAATGACTGGTGTGTGTAGGCTTTGGTAACAACAGCTGGTGCTCATGGGGCTGCGTGCTTTCACAAAAGAGCAACATGTGCAGGTAGGTGTAGTGCAGGTGGCAACTGGTGCAGGTGGCAACTGATGCAGGTGGAAGCAAAGGACCTTTCTTATGCACTTCGAATTATGTCTATATACAGAGCTGAGTGGCTTTCCTTGCATGATTCGACACGTATTTTGGTCCATCTTCTTTTCCTAATCCCTGCCCAGAAAATTTACGTTCTTAAAACCGGAGGGCCAAGAAGGCCCAAATTGCCTCAACCTTCCTAACCTTGGTTGAGTTTGGCCCTCGCACCCAAAATCTTGGCCAATTGTGTTGCTCGCTCCAACCAAGCTTCCTAAGGTTGAAGTTCTTGGCCCGCGGGTTGTAACCCCTGAAACACTACCCGATTCTTATCCCTCTCCCCACCCTCCTGCTCCTTCTCCGTACTCGTTCTCTCCTCTCGGTGTGGCTCTCACTTGCAGGTTCTCTTAAAGCCCAAGAACGCCCTCAGCAAGCAATTCGCCAAGCTATTGGCCATGAACAACGTGAGTGCAGTGTGGGCTGCTGGTTGTGGGTCACGAGCATTGTGTTTTCTATTGTATAAATAAGAAATCCAGACAGTTCTCGGTTAGCAAGCAAGTGCAATTTGCAAAGCTACAGGATGCAGAATAGCACTCAGTGTTGCCTTCTTCCTTGTCCTCATGCTCTCCCAATCCTCCCCTCCCCTCTTACTGAGGCCCGTCTGCACATGACAGAGGAGGCAGTGAGGGCCATTGCGTGGAGTACAGCACCCATTCTTGCCCTTTTCCATGACCTCGTGCCATCTCCATCTCATCTCTTCCTGCCCTCCCTTCCACTCCACCCACTCAGGCCCGCTTGCACATGACGGAGGGGGCAGTGAGGGCCATAGCGCGCAGAGCAGCAGCGCGAAACACGGGGGCCAGGGGGCTGCGATCGCTGCTGGAGGGGCTGCTCACCGAGGCTATGTACGAGGTATGGCGACTGCCGAGGCTATGTACGAGGTATGGCGACTGCCGAGGCTATGACGAGGTATGGTGGCTGCCAAGGCTGTGTATGAGGTATGATGATTACCGAGGCTATGTATGAGGTATGGCGGTTACTGAGCCTCTGTATGAGGTACAATGTAATAGATACAATACTCACCAGGCCTATGTACGGGGTACGGTGTAACAGGCTAACAAAAGGTACGGCGGTTACTAAGGCTGTGTATGAGGTACGTACAGCAGTTACCGAGGCACTGCTTGAGGTATGTACGGCAGTTACCAAGGCTGTGTATGAGGTACTGTGATCGCCAGTGGACCTTGGTATTGTTGTGAAGGCAATGTTGTTGGATGAGGTATCAGTGGGGGCTCGGAGGGGAGGTGGGGTTAACCTGCTCGCTGCTTTCCTCCATCCATCCCTCCATTCCGTCCTTCCCACCCCAACTCCCCAGGTCCCCAGCAATCTGGTGGAAGCAGTGGTGCTGGACGAGGCATCGATGGGGCACGAGGGGGAGGAAGGGGAAGAGGGCAAGCCGGTGTGCAACTGTGTCCTTGATCATTGCCCTCATTCCACGCCCATCCGTCATCTCATGCCCCAACCCACCAGGTCCCCAGCAGTCTAGTGAAGGCAGTTGTGTTGGACAAGGCATCGGTGGGGCACGAGGGGGAGGAGGGGGGCGACGGGGTAACCTGCACTCTGCCATCATCCATCCATCCCTCCTATCCCTGCTCTTCCAAGCCTGATCTTCCCGTCCCTGCCATCCCTGCCATCCCCACCAGGTCCCCAGCTCTCTGGTGGAAGCAGTGGTGCTGGACGAGGCATCGGTGGGGCACGAGGGGGAGGAGGGCGAGGACGGGGTACCGGGGTGTGGGGCCCACATACTGCAAGGGGAGGGCTCGTGGGAGCGGTGGTTGCAGGATAACGAGGGGGGAGGAGAGAAGGCGGGAGGGAAGGGAGAGGAGGGCCAAGGGGGAGGAAGCAAGGGAGGCTCATCTGGGGGAGGTGGAAGTGATGAGGAATCGGATGCAGCTCCTGCTCTTGCCACAGCCACTGCAGCTTGATCTGCCTTGTCGTCTCCTGTCGAGCACCTGTCTACCACGCTTGGACTCTTCTCAGCTCCTGCACTTGCCACAGCCACTGCAGCTTGATCTGCCTTGTCGTCTCCTGTCGAGCACCTGTCTACCACGCTTGGACTCTGCTCAGCTCCTGCACTTGCCACAGCCACTGCAGCTTGATCTGCCTTGTCGTCTCCTGTCGAGCACCTGTCTACCACGCTTGGACTCTGCTCAGCTCCTGCACTTGCCACAGCCACTGCAGCTTGATCTGCCTTGTCGTCTCCTGTCGAGCACCTGTCTACCACGCTTGGACTCTGCTCAGCTCCTGCACTTGCCACAGCCACTGCAGCTTGATCTGCCTTGTCGTCTCCTGTCGAGCACCTGTCTACCACGCTTGGACTCTGCTCAGCTCCTGCACTTGCCACAGCCACTGCAGCTTGATCTGCCTTGTCGTCTCCTGTCGAGCACCTGTCTACCACGCTTGGACTCTGCTCAGCTCCTGCACTTGCCACAGCCACTGCAGCTTGATCTGCCATGCCACCGCATCTCCCATCCAGCATCTGTCTACTACCCCTTCTATTGTGGTGGACTGGGGGATGTCACTGTGCTAGAGCGTGCTGCTAGGTATCGGTGTATCCTTGCCGCTCGGAAGGTGGGATTGCAGGATGTTTTCATCATGTGTGTATATGCCTCTTCTCTTCTCTCTCGCTCGGAGTTCAAACAGTTTGTCTGCCTCCGATCGCATGTTTTCCTGCAAGTACTGTACTGCATGTATGATATACGTTCAAAAAATCATGAAATTATTTGTGGTTTTTTCGAAGAAACTGCAAGAATGTATGTAACAAATCATGGCCGATTGAAAGCTTGACAAACAAAATGTTTATGACCAAATGATGATACAGTAGCACCGCTATAGCAAGTTAACTGTAGTACATGTCTGTTTATGTTAACGGCCTCTAACTGAAACTGGAAACTTCTACAGCGTGGTAATAGGTTGGAAGTTGGTGGCGGGTGGTTCGGAAGGCAGCGTTTGCTGGTGTATCGATAGTTTCAACTCAGGTGAGTAGCGGTTCAAAGCGATGAGGCATTACAAAATATATTCAATTTTAAAATCTGTCGTCACAAGTTCTAAACCACTTCAGAACTCCAACATCACGGCCCTTAGGGCGTGTCTCTTTTTATATTTTCTGCAATTTTCCGGACGGTTCTCTTTTTTGGTACTGGACAGTCCAAATAGCGAGGAGCCGACTGTCCGAATTGCCATTTCGGAACTTTCCCCCGTCCAGATGCAATTCTGTCACTTTTTCATGGACCATGAACTCACGAAGTACTGTAGCTTCGTAATGGGCACTGTATCGTCGTTACACAGGTCGCGACATTTTCTCCGCAAAATTGTGCGCCAATCGATTCCGTTTAGGAAAAAAAAACTCGCGAGCCAATATTTAGTCAGTACTGCTGCACCGTCCGTTTGCTTTTCGAGCTGCGGAAGGTTCAAATTCTGAACCGCTGGGAGGAGGGAAAAGTGACGCGACAGTTCGTACCGTTGGCGACTTCGCAAGTACTATCACGAAATCGATTACGAACTCTGCGAAACCGGTAATTGTTTCGCAGTTCGGACCGTCCACGGCTCGAACCGTCGAGGGAAAAAAAGAGACACGCCCTTAGCTGGACGTAGTATTTCTAGTGACGTGGGGTTTCCAGAAGCCCTCATTGACCACGTCCCACATTAACTCCGCTATCATTACGAGTACAGGCCACGACAAACAGACCAGCAAATATTTAGATACTGAAGACTTCGCAAGGCAGCCAATGAGATAGTGAGATTCATTCCTCTTAATCTCACTCTTTGACCATGCATTCGTTCAGGAATCATGGGCCGACGAAAACGGATCACCGAGGCGCAGCGGGTAACCAGCCGGCGAAATTAGATCTTGCGATCCCGGCGAAATTAGATAGTGCGATCCCAGCGATCCTCCCGTGGCACGTGCTGCTCGTTCTCTTCGTCACCGTGCAGGCCTACTCGCTCCGCACGCTAGTCGTGTATCCGCCGTCCATTTTCTCCGCATCCGACGGTTACCAGCAGCACCAACAGCAGCAGCAGCAGCAGCCGCAGCAACAGCAGCATCAGGAGCGCGAATGGTCGGAGCGCGCCGAGCCCGTTTCCGCGGCGGAGCAGGCGAAACTGGGATTGGAAGGTCCTCCGAACGGGGAGGCGGGGAGGAGCGACGGTGGATCAGAGCGGAGCGATGCGATGGGGTCGCGGGGAAGGTGGGGAAGGGTGGGGAGGATGGGGAGGATGGGGAAAGGTGGGGAGGATGGGAAGGGTGGGGAGGGTGGGGAGGGAGTGGAAGGTGGGGAGGGTGGGAAATGTACGCTGCTCTCACTCCCTTCCCTTCCACCCGTTCTCCATGTGTATGGATTCTTGACTTGTCGCTATGCCATTCGCCTTCCAAGTCGTCTCAATACGCTATTTCCTGGTACATTCAAAACAATGCTCTGACATTTGGTCCTGTCTCCGCCTCCCCGTCCCCTTTCACACCCCCCTCCCCCCCCCCACCCCCCTGCCTTTCTCCGCCACTTCCCCCTGCCTCTCACGCCCCCCTGCTTTCCACCCTCACTCCCCCCTTCTCCGCATTTCCCACCAAACAAATGTCAATTGTGTCTCCACCTCCTCTCACCTTTCCACCTGCCCCCCAGACACCTCCTCTCAGACCCCGGGCAGAAAAAAAAGAAGGGAGTCACAACAGCAGAGGACGTCGAGTTCTTTCTGCGCCGCCGCTTCCCCTCCTGCAAGCTGGAATACATCGGCGGGCAGCCCGGGCAGGCGAAAGAAAAAGGCGAGGGAATCGTGTGGCCCGTATGTTCTGACCACCTGAGGCCAAGAGGAGTCGTGTACTCGTTTGGAGTGGGCCCGAACCTTCTGTTTGAAGGCGAAATGACCTTGCGGGGACAGCAGGTGAGGGGAGGAGGTGGGGTGGGGTGGAGTGGGGTGGAAGAGGGGGTGGGCGGGGAATGTGAGGACGAATGAGGTTGAACCTTCTGTTTGAAGGCGAAATGACCTTGAGAGGACAGCAGGTGAGGCAGGGGTTGTGTAAGATGGGAAGGGGTATTGTGTGGTGTGATTGGATTACCTGCGTCCAAGAGGGCCCACTCGTTTGGTGTGGGCCCGAACCTTCACATTTGAATGTGAAATGACCTTGAGAGGACAGCAGGTGAGGCAGGGGTTGTGTAAGATGGGGAGGGGTATTGTGTGGTGTGATTGGATTACCTGCGTCCAAGAGGGCCCACTCGTTTGGTGTGGGCCCGAACCTTCACATTTGAATGCGAAATGACCTTGAGAGGACAGCAGGTGAGGCAGGGGTTGTGTAAGATGGGAAGGGGTATTGTGTGGTGTGATTGGATTACCTGCGTCCAAGAGGGCCCACTCGTTTGGTGTGGGCCCGAACCTTCACATTTGAATGCGAAATGACCTTGAGAGGACAGCAGGTGAGGCAGGGGTTGTGTAAGATGGGAAGGGGTATTGTGTGGTGTGATTGGATTACCTGCGTCCAAGAGGGCCCACTCGTTTGGTGTGGGCCCGAACCTTCACATTTGAATGTGAAATGACCTTGAGAGGACAGCAGGTGAGGCAGGGGTTGTGTAAGATGGGGAGGGGTATTGTGTGGTGTGATTGGATTACCTGCGTCCAAGAGGGCCCACTCGTTTGGTGTGGGCCCGATTTGAATGCGAAATGACCTTGAGAGGACAGCAGGTGAGGCAGGGGTTGTGTAAGATGGGAAGGGGTATTGTGTGGTGTGATTGGATTACCTGCGTCCAAGAGGGCCCACTCGTTTGGTGTGGGCCTGAACCTTCACATTTGAATGCGAAATGACCTTGAGAGGACAGCAGGTGAGGCGGTTGTATGTGGAATGGGGGCCCCGGAAGGGGGGGAGGGAGGTAGGGGTCGAACGAACGAGCCCAGACTCCTGAGGAGGCATTATGTTCAGAGGCGTAACGTAATGCCTCTGAGAGGGCGGGGCAGGGGATGTGTGAGATGGGAAGGGGTGTTGTGTGTGTATTGTATAACCACCTGCGTCCAAGAGGAGTCGTGTACTTGTTTTGTCAACGACACCACCTTCTCCTCCCTGCTCCAGCCCATCAAGGGCCCTCCTGCAGGTGTATTTCTTCCGTCTAGGCGTCAACAGTGCCGCTTTCTCATTGCCACAATCCAATCGTTTCCCGTCCCCCCTCCCTCGTCCAGGTGTTTGTGTTCGACCCTTTCGTCAACGACACCGCCTTTGCCTCCATGCTGCAACCCATCAAGGGCCTCTCCCCCCGCCGCTCCCCCCAGTTCCGCCCCTTTGCCCTCGGGCCTCGAGACGGGGTCGCCCTCTTCCACCCCATTCCCACTTCCTCCTCTTCCTCCTCCTCCCCCTCATTCTCTGCATCTTCTGCTGCTGCTGACACCTCCTCCTTGTCTCAAGAGACGCGGGAAGCGGCAGTGCTCCGCCTGCGCACGTTTATGTGCATGCACTCCCACCGTTGGATCGACATCCTACGGCTGGATATTGCCGGGCTCGAGCTCGAT